AGTAATAATAAATTAATGGGCAAGTGCTGGAAAAACAAAATTTCAATTGAACATCACCACTACGTATAAACCCTTTCCATTCGGATGCCCGCGGCAAAATTCATACAAATCTCGGAATTCGCGAGTGGAAAGAATTAAGATGCAATTGTAATAAGGTGCTTATTCAAAACTTCTTATACAGATAACTACGGATACTCGCAGATAATACGATGTATATAAAGTACCCAATTTCGCTTTCATTTGAATACAGATGATCAAAATAGATCAGCCTTTATCAAATGTTTCCATCAATCATATACTGTTCTTGAAAAGCAATTTTCTTGCAACTGAAATTATCTGAATATATCTGTTTGTTGGTTCTGCTTTGTATTTAAATGGGAATATAATTAAGATAGCAAAATATTTTATGTCTGCAAAGCCAAAACATCTTAAATCAATTCACCTGAATTAAAAAAATCATAAAAAAAATATGTGTTGAAGTATACTAAAAAGAGTAATTTTCAATGTTGATAAAACAATGTTTTGAGTATAACTAATAGAAAAATATGATTATATTCGCATTTTCTTGTTTGAATTAAGATTGAGTTGTAGATATTGTACACAACACATAAAAATGGTTGTTTATAAGTATATTAATATTTATAAGTAGGGGTGTAGTTGCTCCAAATTTAGATTAAATTAATGTTTAACTTTACTAACTTTAAAAGATCGAGTTGGTTTTTATATAATTATTAGGGTGGTTCTTAGTGTGACGTTTTGGAATTTTCTTGCTCCCAAGGGCTCAAATGGTTCCAAATTGATAAAAACAATTCTCTGAAAGTTTTAGCTTTTGATATTAACTTTTAGATAGTGCGCAATTCAATCAAACTTCGTATGGAAATAGCATGGGAAAAAATTTTTGGAAATTAAAAAAAAAATTTTTAGGTATAAAACTCATTCATTTGTTCGCTAAATTATATCCAAGAAATTTTTTAAAATTTTGAAAATTTTTCATGCTATTTCCATACAAAACTTTGATTGAATTGCGCACTATCTAAAAGTTAATATTAAGAGCTAAAACTTTGAGAGAATTGTTTTTTATCAATTTGGAACCCTTGGGAGCAAGGAAATTCAAAAATGTCCATGTTAAGGACCAACCTAATATTTATATATGCATTTAAAAACGAATAATTTAAAGGGAAGTTCTTGCTACCAGCCCTGAGTAAATTAGTTTCAATTGACAGAAATGTTGCCACAAATTATTGCAATATTTTATTAATTAGTTTCTTAAATTTGAATTTCAAAATCATTATTCAACATTATCCTTCTACCTTTTCAGGTATATTTATTATCACTTACTTGTGGTCCAAATCCCCAACAAGTGGACGCCAAAGTTAATGGGGGTCCAAATCCCCCAATAATTATGTGGGTGTTTGGCTCACTGTTACCTTCACGTTGTGCTTCAAGTGGAACAATAACAGTTTCTTCATCTAAGGTTTCGGTTGATGTTTTTCCTTCTGCAAAAATAGACAGAGGTAAGTGGTAATTTTATTAAAATAAAAGATGAACTATCAGATATTGTATCAGTAAAGTCATCCCTTCCATTATATGTAGAGATTATATAGAATATGCAAATACCATTATTATCTTGTAAACGCTAAAATTTAAATCCCCGTGTGATTCCAAGAAAGATAAATATCCAGTTAAATATGTCGAAATAAAATTATATGCTTTTAACCTTGTGCTAAGAAGCATTTGCGTGCATCTTCACGGAAACGGGTTACAAGAACTCTTGTTCTTACATTATTGGTCAGATGTCGTTTCGCATCCTTTATTCTTAAACATTTATTACCAACATGTATTATAGGCTTGTGACTTTTGCAGTTCCAGTTAATTCTTATGCAATTTCAAACAATCGTAAAAGACAGAACACATTGAACATTTATGGTAAAATGATTTTATTATATAATGTTGCATGCGCCGGTTCTAAGATAATTACATTTTATTAAATATTTATTTATACTATTTTGAACAACAATCAGAACTTGAGTCCTATAAGCTTTTGTGCTGATTTGACTTAATACTAGTCGGTTTTATAGATGGCAACCCTAAGTTTTCCGTTATCTGTGTGATAAATTATTAATGGGACATTAATGTGTGACAAATTCTAATGAATGGGAGAATATTTATTGATGCAGCAGTGTCGGATCAGCGCTATTTTTGCTTGGAAATATATAGGTATCTATAATTCCAAGGAAAAATCGATTTCATTACTGCTTGATTTCAAGCTTCTCGGTGGGAGATCGAACTAGGGACCTATAATTCAGGTCCAGTTGTTCTAGCTACTTACCTGCATTTAGAAAAAAATATAATATCGGTTTTTTATATATGGTTAACAGCAATTAGAAGTTAACAAGTCTTATGAACTGTATTGCTGACTTCTTATGGATGTGGTATATAGATGGCACAGTTGTTCTATCTCTATGTAATACAAAGTTTTCTCAAAAACGGAGTAACCAATTTCAAAAATTTTAAAATTATTCGATGTATCTCGATGAGGACTATCGTCTCTCAGTTTTGTGCGACGATCTGCAAAGCCGTTTCTTTATAATTTGGAAAAAAGTGTTAAACTTTTCGTTCACATTTAAGCTCATATTTCCGAATCGATCTTAAAAAATCAAAACTGTTCGGAAGATATTAGTTGGGAATGATACTGATTAGTTTTAGGTGAAAATCTACCAAGCCGTTTTCTTGTAATTAACTGTTTTAAAAAAAAATTAAGCCGATTTTTATGGAACTTTTTCTGGCGATATATATCATGGTCTTATAGAACTTACTGAAATATTACGGCCTTACGACGAGTAGTTTGATTTTAAAAATTTATCGAAGTTTGGGAAAATTTTTGACTTGGTCTTAGTGATCATACAAAACCACTAAAGTTCTACAGAAACTGGTTCAATTAAAAAAATTATTGATTTGTGAAAATTTGCTTTTAGAAAATACTCCGAGAACACGTTAAGTGTTCGTTCGTTTTCAATTATGTTAATGAATCCACTCGGAATACTTTTAATCACTACACAAAAATTAATTTATTTTTTATTGATTAAGTCGATTATTTACATATATCGGAAAGTTCATGTAACTTGCCTCAAGGCAAAATACCAATACCAACTAGTTTTATTGATGCAGCAATATCGTATAAGGGCTATATTTATTTGGCAACATGTTGTTATCTATATTTTCAAATGAAAACCGATGCTACTGCTTTTGACATCAGGTTGTCCGTGGCTTGTATGAAACTTAGAACCACTTATTCAAAGTCCACAACTTCAATCACCAGGCCACCTTTTTTACTATTGATCTAGCCTATCTTTCTAGCCTTTTTTTCAAAAGATAAGAAATTAATGAAATTTTTCTTTGTTATTAGTTTACCTCGCATTTTCTAGTTTAATTGAAACATTGAATGAATCAAGGTACTCTCTGTGTATTTAATAATTACCTAGTAAAGCCTATGTAAATTATATATTCAGTTTCGGTTGAATGAACCTGAGGTCCCCTATAATAAGCTCAATTTAGAATCATCGGTTCTAATAATCGCAATACAAACGCGACAATGATAAACAATTGTATATTGTGTGCACGAAACACAATTACCTATGCGGATTCGACATCCGGGGACCAGCAATTCCTGTTTTGCAAAATTTATTTGTTTTTACTTGCACGCTCACGTGTAGTTTTTGTGCAATTTCCCGACAAAATACAATATCATCTTTTTATTGGCGAACAAATTATATTGGCTGGTGTTAATTTAGCTCACAGTAATTATTCTTTATACTTTTTGCCTAATATTAAGGTGACCTTATTTTTTGGGTCAAAATCGGCAACTTGGTAGTTGGGACGGCGGAATCGCCAATTTTCGAAAAACTGAAAATGGAAAACAAAAATTGATAATTTTTGTAAAATTGAAAATAAAAGTCCGAAATTATCAATGTAAGATTCTATAGTAACACTTTGGTATTTTGCATTCGAAAATATTACCATTTATAACCTATTGTTTCATATAAGCAAACTTCTTCTAAAAAAAAATCCGGGACTGAAGAATGAAATCCGGGACAAATATTGCTTTTATGAAAATCCGGGTCACAAGGTGTAAACCGGGTCGTAAGGTAACCTTACTAATATGTTAAAAATATATCAAAATATCATCTATAAAACCACATTGTTCAAGAAAACAGCACAACAGCTTGTAGGACTTGTTAAGTTCTAAAAACTGTTAAAAATATAATAATAATACAATCTTTTGCAAAATCATAAGCAATATAGTTTGTTTGTTTAATACACTTGAATTGCGAATATGTGCATTCTCAACAGCTCTACAGATAAAGTATTATTTTTTTCAAAATGTCACGAAAAATATGATTTTGTCTCATTTTTAAATATGAGAAAAATAGGTATGATCGTCTGTACGTGACGAATAGAATTTAAATAATCTTGACATTCAACTTTATTTTCAATTTCTTATCGCACAGATTTTAATACATACTCAACTATTAAAAAGCATTTTAAGATTTACTATTATCAATCAAGCTAATATATACAACAATAGTACAAAACACTACTTGCATAGTAAATATTCAAATTTCAAGTTCAGCTCAAATGATATCAGATCTAATTTTTCAATAAATTATGGACTGCTCAATTTTTGCAATATAAACGTCGATAAGTTAGAAATCACTATAACAATTTATGTCTTTAAATATATGATGTCCATATTAGTATAATTTTTTGAAATATCACAAAACTTACACCACTTAACTTGTACCTATTAATCCAGTTTATAGGTATTTTTTTGTTCCATTTTTTTTCAAATAATACATTTATTCGGAAATGTCTTTTAAATTTCACGGGAAAATTATTATAATACTATGAAATAATATATGATGATAATATATAAAATGAATGTGCCGAAAAGTACTATTTATCTATTATAGTGGCTTTCAACCTTTTATCCCCGTTCTAATAAAAAATTGTTGCTCCGCCCACTTAATTTTCACAAGAATTTCTTTTCATAAATTCTTAACTCCTATTATCACACTACAAATCAATATGCAGTGTTATGTAACAATCAATATGCATAAAAAATAATCAATTTTTAGTTCACTTTTTCATATAGGGGCTAGCACTAACTAGTCCCGGGTTCGCTGGTTCGATTTCCGCTACCGCCAAGCCTGACATCAGGCAACTTTGATGTCAAATTTCCACTTGATGTTATAGATTTCAAATATAGCCTCAAGTGAAAATCGCCTCTCGTGGGTATAGTTGCATATATAATAAAAATGTCAGCAAATACTTCGAGTATAGATAATAAGTCATAACTGGACTGGACAACTACGGGGTTGCCATCCATTTAAGATTCATATAATAAGAAAGGCCAAATCAAACAACAAACTGAATGTCCTAAGTGTGACAGATTGTAATTAAAATAAATTTAAACTTTTTTATATAGTTTCAATGTTTTTGTTGATTTTTGATAATAGCATTTTGGTAACAGATGTGCTCACCCCTGAGGGTGCTTGCCTCAGAGGTTGGGAACCAAGGAATTAATATTATTAATAATCATTCTTAAAAATAAACTTATCTATTATTTTATTATTTATTTGCTCACAAAGTACCAGCATTTGGTGATGAAAAGATATTAAGACTGATCAGTAGGAATCAGAGAACAATAAGTTATTGACATGTTAATATTAATCGATACTTTGATTATATTGTAATAACTTCCATTCTCCCTTGTGCTAAATGAAGTTTGCCATTAGTACAATAAAGGCAAATAATTGAACTTTAATAATGTACTATTGTATTAATTGTTGATGAAGTGAAGAGCAAATCTTCAGCAATGGTTACTACTATTTATTTTCTGTATTTACAGTAGGTCACATCGCAAAAAATTGAACCGACTTTGTAAATTAAAGAATTATTCGAAAGATTTCATTTTGAAGTTGGTTAATTTTTGACCTGAAACTTAAATAGGTGGATATCGATTACGTACAGTTTCCTCTATCAAAATTATCGTCAATCTTCTTAACTATAGCGATTTTCTTTCGATTTCTTGCACAATATTTAGCCCGGAGCAAATCGATCTTCAAACGTTGCAAATCCGTTACCATCTCCTCAAAGATGCCACAATGCTTATTTGCATATGACATTTTCTATTGCAACTTACTTTGGCATGCTAAACAACGGTTCAAGAAGAAATTCCAAATAGTGAAATAATACTCGAATCATGCACAGACAGTTGCGAAATTTTTTACTTTTCATCTTTTGAAATACTCGATAAAATGCATTTAAAGAAATTTTATTAAATTACACGTTTCACTTCCTGGTGGGTCTGGGAAATAATGCGGGAATGGATGTTTTATTTACTAGAACTGAAAGGTAAAATAAATGTGAATATCGATAATAATAATATTTCCAATATCATGTTTGTAATTCATTTATTTTTAATAATGGTTTGACAATTGTTGAAACATGTATA